CTCTCTTTTTGTATTCTTACTTTTTTTAATTAAGATTTAATTGATATACATGCCTAGTGAGATAAGCCAGAAAGAAAAAGAAAAATACCGGATGGTTTCACTCATAGCAGGAGTATAATGGACCAGGCGAGAAAATAATAATAATAATGAACAGCCATATACCAGAGACATTTTATGGGGTGGAGTGAGGAATGGGATCAAAAAACAGTGGGGGGGGGGGAGGGAAATGCACTGGACTATGGTGATGGCACACGGGTGACTTGGTGATGGGAAGCATAAGGGGATTACAACTGAGATGGGAAAAAAATGTACAAAATGATGTAAAAATAAACTATTATATTATATATGTAAAAAGATTTAATTGATTTATGATACTACATTAGTTTCAGGTGTACAACATAATGTTTCGATATTGTTGTAGGCAGTAAGTCCTCACTTAACACTGTTGACAGTTTCTTTGAACAGTGACTGTAAGCTAACAACATGAAAGAAGGTTCTTAAATAGCATTGTTTTTTAAGATGGGCTGGGATTTCTTCTCTCTTGCCAACATCATAACAAAATAGCGTTGAATGAAATTATGTTCTTTGAGGACCTGTTGTACTGCAAAAGAATCACCAAAATAACCCTAGTTAACCTCTACTAGCATATACAGGCAAACCTTTTTCTTGTGACATAGTCTTATTTATTTATTTTTTTTATAATAATCGTTGGAGGGTACATAACACCCTTCCTTTCCTCTGAAGGGACCTTCGTGTTAGAGTAACTTCCCAGCCTCTCTGCCTGGTTCTTCCCAAGGTAGGTGGAAGAGCAAGTTATCAAACTAGAATATGTGAGAAAATGAAAATCCGGACCGAAGGTTGCTAACTGGGTGGGACTAATCCATTAGAAAACTTAAAGTTCCTGGCAGGCAATCTCCCTGTCAACTTCCTGTCCCCAGCAATGTCTGCTCTCCAGACATCCACCTGGTGCTTAAATATATATGCTAGACCAAACCCTGAGATTGAATAAGATGGCCAGAGTGAAGCAGTAGGCAAGGCAGAGTGGAAGCTGAGTTCAGAACTTTGAATGACCAGTGCCATCAGAGGGTGGCCCGAGGCAGGCAGACTTCTGCCCTGGGGTGTGGCCCAATGGGGGGTGTGATTGAGAAATTTGCAAGACCTGAAGGGTTGCCCTGCAAACTATAAAGTGCTCTACTCTGGTCTAGACTGGTATGGGTTGCCCCAGTGAGCCCATCTGACTCAGACTCTACCTGTGGTTCCATTAATTTACCACTAGAAAGCTGAGATTTTGGACCTCCATTTGTTTGATTCTTTTTGTCTATTTTTCAGTTTTCCCCAAGTGCCAGTAAACAGGACCTCGCAGAAAAGGTTGCTTTTAAAGTTGTCGGTTGCTCTGTGTGCAAATAATTTTATTACCGGCACCATTTACTGAACATCAGCCTTACTTATTCCTTTATGTGTATCATCTCAGAGGACTTTTATAATAACCTTAGAAGGTTTGTTCTGTTATTATTCTTGTTTTAGCAGGAAGATAAAAACAGGATCCTCAGAAAGTTTGAAGAGCTGTTCTTGAAATCTTTATTCTGATATTGTGGATTTGAGCTTGGGTGGGGTCCAAAAAGAGAGTTTTCTATTTAGATTGGCAAAATTACTCACTGAGCAGTTAGAATTAGTGACAGTGAGATGAACAACTGTGAGAACTTCTGGACAAACTAGCTACTCAGTTTTTTTTTTTTTTTTTTTTTTTTTGCTTGTTAATCAATGCTTGTTACCAGCATCTTACCGCCAACATTTTTGCTGGTTTAACTGAAACCTGTCACCCAAATGCACTCTAAAACCTTCAGTTGGAAGAGAGGAAATCTCTGAGAACTATACTTCTCCTCTCTACATACAGATGGCTGTCCACGACTGTGGGGGCAGGGGTGACTTAAGGTTACCAAAATCCAGTTAACAAGCAAGCAACATGATGAACATTTCTCTTAGCTGAGTAAACTGTCAGGGAAGAAAAACATAAAGCCTCCTGCTGGGTATTTGACCCAAAGACAGGAAAAATCAGGACATTGGGATATTTTTAAATAGTATTGCTATCAACTCAACTGTGAATATTAAAAACCAAAATGATGAGTATCTCATAGTTGAGAGGTGGGCTGGACGTTGCCAAGGCTACCTTGCACCAAGGTTGAAAAATGAATGTTCGAATGAGCCCAGAAAGCAAGGCTTCCAGAATTATTTTTACTTTAAAGCACTAATTTTATAGTCTTGTATAGTTTCCAGGGCAACCCTTCATGTCTTGCAAATTTCTCAGTATAAAAATTTCTCAATCACACCCCCCATTATGCCACACCCCAGGGCAGAAGCCTGCCTGCCCCGGGGCCACCCTCTGATGGCTCATTCAAGGTTCTGAACTCAGCTTCCACTTTGCCTACTGCTTTGCTTTGGCCGTCTTTTCAATCTCAGGTTTTAGGCTAGTATATTTAAGCAGATTACTTTCAAAACTACTTCTCTGTCCCTATTTCACTAATTTCTAGTCCCACAGTTATCACTTTTGCTGAAACTTCATGTGGATAAATTGCAGGTAACTCTAACTTCCAAAACTGAGCTCTTGCTTGTTTGTTTTGCAACCCTTGTTTCTTCTATCATCAAGTAAAAGTCTTCTTTCACACCTTTCTCCTGAAACCCTGCATCATCTTTCTCCCTCCTTCTTTCTTAATCCTCTGATCTAATGAGTTCTCAAGGCCAGCCAATCCACTGGGAGTGCACCCCTTTTCTCTGTGCCTACTCCACTCTTTCCTGTTCCTCCTGTATCAGCACTCCAACACCACGGTGTCCTCACCATCAGCCTCCTGCTACTCTTCCCTGTTTACTGTTACCAGAGTCACCTTCCTGAGATTTAGTTTCAACTAAGTCATCTGTCACTGGCTCCTCATTGCCTACAGTGTGAAGTCCAGATTCCTTAGCATCGCATTCATCGTCAGGCCTTACGATTCCAATTGACCTAGCTCAAAAGCATTTCTCAACACTGTCACCCCTGGGAGACCTGCTCAGGACTTTTTCCTTAATCACCCCTCTAGGAAACCTTGATGTTACAGACAGGGCAGCTGCTCATGTGCTGTGCGTATGTCTTCACATGCCAACAATCAATGCTTGCCGGGGGACAATATTGCCCCTATTCAGACTGCCTTCTCTCTTGAGAACCCCTAAATATGCCCATGCACCTTCTACCTTCAAGTTTTCCTCCCTTGGGCCATCCATCAGAGCAGCTGAGGGGCCATGAGGTTCTTAGAGCACTCCTGCTCTTCAGTGCACTGTGCCCCTGTGTAAAGTGGACCCACACATTTCACCCCTCCCCCTCCATTTCTTCCTATTGAAATCTGACCTTTCCTGCTGCAACCCAAATACCATGTCCAGTCTATCCTTTCCATGCTCCAACAGAACTTTCTACCTCTATTATGTTCTTGGTTGTGTAGTCATTTTCTATATGTGTTTCTCCTCCATTTTATTACAAACTTCCTAAAAACAAGAACTGGCGCCTTCACTTCACCTTGTACAATGGCTTTGCTTTTGGGTACTATGCAAAGCATATGTTGGTTGAAATCAACTCCCTGATTCACCAGGAACAGAACAAAAACCAAAGCCAGCCCAGGTGGGAAAAGGCCCATATGTATGCTGAAGACATGAACAGACTACTGAGTGGATACACCCTTAAATAGCCATCACCAACACAGAGGTTATCAAGAAAGGAGTTCTGTGCCTTGTACAACTGTGGTTCCTGCTTCACAAAAACAACAAACAGACACCTACGGAATGTTACCTGCCCAAACATGTCTTGAATTATGATCAAGGTGAGCAGGGGATGCAGAGACAGAACATAAATCATCATTCTGACATCAAAATTTTGTTACAGATATGAAATCTTTATAGGGCTTATTTGACATACATGAAAGTACACTTTGAATGTCAGTAATCATCACCCTACATAAGGAGCCAAATTAAGGTTACAAGGCAGGTAAGGTGATCTGACCAAGTAACTGTTTGTGTATTAGAAGTGAAGCCAAAAGAAAACCAGGTTTTCTAGAAAAGGCTTGATAAATTTTAAAATGTATCTATCTGACTCTAGACATTTTTATGATATATTAGAATACCACTTTCTAGGAAAAACAATTTCTGTGGTTTCATTCGATTACATTGTGCCTCTATCTTGGGCTTGGATATTTAAAAGAATTAGTATTGCTTCTCTGGAATAGTTGAGAATATCGTCAAATCTTCTAGAAAACTACAAATAGCTTTTAAACCATCCTTTGCCCAGGACTGTATTCTTCTAAACACCACGTGTGAGCTCACGTGTGCCTGACCGTTGTGGGACAACTAAGTGGGAGTGTCTAAGGGATGGGAAGCTTGGAAAGAATTCATTTCCAAGTATGCACTAAATCCAGCCTTTGGAATTGGCTCACCTCCGCCAGGTATTTCAAACAAGGCAACCCTCCTCCAGTTCTGAAGATCCGCGCACAAGTCTGTCCCCTCTGGCCTCCTTATTGAAACGCGGGACTAGTCATGAATCTCTCTTTTGCACTCCTTCCACCAGCCAAGCTCAAGTTGCCAAGAGCAACCGCCAAAAGTTCAACGGAGCCTGCATCTCACTTCGGGACCGAGTTCTGTAGGACTGTCGGCTAAACTAGTCTGGTACCGGGTGGGGCGGGCAAGGGGCGGGGTCGAGGACGGCCCCGCCCCTCTGCCGTGGGATTGGCTCCGGCTCTCCCTATAGCCGCTCGTTTTGCATCTCGGTTGGCTGGGCCGCGAGAAACATGTCATTAAGGTGTTGTCAAAATGAACCTTGTGAATGCGGGCCGTCCCTAGGTGTGTGGGTTTAGATTCCCAAAGGGGCGGACTTATTGTCGGCTTTGGAATCAAGTTCCTGAAACCAATCATCTATAGCTTGAAAAATGTCGTCGTAACACGAGGCACACAGGAGCTTCGGGGTACCCCCCACACTGCAGAGAAAAATGACGAAAGTTCCCCAGAGGTTTGATTTCAGTTTCTTAAATGACGAAGAAGCCCGGAAGATCCTTCGCGTGCTGGAAAGAAATGAGGCGCTACAAAGGTCAGAGAAGGAGAGGATCAGGTACAGAGCAAATTCTTTCTTTCCGGGGCGCGCGGTCGCGGGGCACCTGCGCCGAGCTTTTCTCTTGAGGACTTTGGGGCGCCCAGTCGGTGCTCTCCCCATGCACGGCATCCCAAACCCGCCCGCCGGTGACACCTGAGTCCCGCCGGGAAAGCGCCCGCCCTGGCCAAGGTGGGGGCGCGTCCTTTGGCGCCTGTCGCTCCGAGTGGGGACACAGGGCGGTGACTCGGGGATCCTGCAGGGTGGGGGGCCGCGGGCGATGCGGGGCGTCCACCTGGCTGGTAGGGGGTGGGCAATGGGGCGGGGTGCTGCGCTGGAGGGAAGGCAGGTCCCTCAGGCCCCGTTCCCTCTCATCCATGTGCTCCCACCAGCCCTCCACCTCGTCCCCTCTTGCATCACACACTTCTCCTCGGTCCCTGGTCCGGTGATCTTTCTCCACCCCATGCGTCTTGCCAGGGAGGCCCGGGAGAGGGGGGGATCTTATCGGTGACCTAATGGTCCCCATCATAAGTGTTGGGGCGCCAGGAACTTTCTCGGAATGTGCGACCTGAACCCAGGCGACCCAGGTTTGCAGGGCTGCCTAGAATCCATGGGTCTCCCTTTTGGGTGTGCTGTGAGAAAGAAGTTGCCACGATATTTTACCTTTGACCTTATTTACCATGCTGTGTTGTGGGTGAGGGATTAGTTACCGGGGATGAAACCAAGAGATAATTAGCTGGGTGTAAATTAACCAGTTTTTCTGCTAGGGGCCTGTGGGGTAAGACCTGGAATGAATGGAAGGGACTCACACCACTCCTGGGATAGACCCTCCAAAGTCTTCTCCCATTGACTGTGGAGGGATTTCAGGGCATCTCTCTGAAAAAGAAAAGCGCAACACCCATTCAAATTAGAAAGATATTTTGTTTGTGAGCAGCTCCTTGGTAATATGAGCTCTAGGTTTTCACCTCCTGCTGCCCAAACTGTGCCCCCAGAAATCAGCCTTCAAAGGTTCTATGCTTATAGGGAAACTGTGGTTGGCCTTTTTAGAAATGGTTAGCTTACATTGGACCTAAAGCCCTGCCTTCACCCTCTTAAAAGATACGACCATTGGAAAAAGGAAGGAATATTTGAGGTCTGGGAATGTCTTTCACACCATCACAGCCTACCTTTAGAAAAATAGACCTGGTCATTTCCCTAGTAGAGTGTGCCCTTCTCGCACTGCATGTCTATTCCACACACCCATGTGCTTGTACTCACACAGGGGCATGCATAGTCCCTGTGCACACTCAGCCGTGGCCAGGAGAACTGGACAGTTTCGGCAATTTGGCTCCAGAGAATATTCCACAGGGACTAAGAAACTGCAGTTGCTCTCAGTGTCTATTTTGGAAGAGGTACAGGGGCAGTGAGATGATTCACCAGAGACAGAGCAGGGAGCAGAACAGGCAGATCGATGAAGTACACTGCTGAGGGGAGCAGCCGGCGAGTGGGTCAGGAGAGGCCTGCCACGCCATGTGGTCACCTCCAGGGCGGGGGTGGATTAAAATCATGCTGAAGTGGCTTTAGCTTCTTAGTGCTTCGCCTCAACCCACTGCACCCCACGGAGGGCCGGAAGGGGCTTCTTTTGTGACCCAGTGTGGGTTCTGGGCAAATGGGGGGTGAGTTAGAACAGAACAAGAGGGGAGGATGCATCCATTTAGGATATTCCGACTTGGCTTCTCATGAACTCGGAAATAGCGATATGATTTTTCATTTTCATTCAAGGAATTTGTGACTTTTTCTATCTGACCTGCTAGCCATGTTGTTTGCTTTGTAGCAGCGCAAGGCATCCACATCACTGACTTGAGTGGTTTGTACATGCAGATGCAAAAGCCATGGGGTGGCTCTTAGAAGGAAGACTAAAGCACATTTCCTGCCTACAAGGTGGCCCTAGGCTACTGGAGCATCCATAGAAAAGTCATCACGCTAAGGCAAAAGTCTGTACTATAAATAGTATATTATTAAAAAGAACAACCCCAATACTTTGACAAATGTCACCATTGAAATATAAAAACAATTTGAGAAAAGTAGACATTTGGTCTGAATGCACGAGACAGTTATTTGTAGTCCTTTCTTTTCCCCTGGTGAATTCCTGGGTCCCAAGATCATGTATACCCACCACTGGGTAGCAGACTCCTTGATCTTGTTCTGCTTAACCGCTCACGTGTATCGGTTTCAACAGCAGATACTGACATGCAGAAGGACCTGAGATAACATGTCAGCTTGGCTGCCTCCCTATTTTCCTGTATGTTGATTGTCACATTTTCCAAAGCAAAAGTCAGGACATCGCACTTAGAATGCAAAAACACAATCTAGGAGGTAACACAACTGGCCTGTCTGAGAGACTCTGGAAGGACTTTTTACTGGATGGAGAAACATTTTTAAGATATCTTGGTCGAGATAACAAGAAGAGATTGTGGGGGAAGTTTGGGGAGGTCAGCTGAGTGGGGGTATGTTATATTCAGTTTGCCAGAGACTCGAGGCATCTACAAGACAACTAAGGAGAAACATCCTGTACTTAGAGAGGGAACTACAGTGCCATGCAGGCCAACGCATGTCCAGAGAAGGATATTAAAGGTGTGAGAGGATTCGGTTCACCTAGCAGCAGACAACAACCCCAGTCCCCGATATGCAATGAACACTCAGACCTTCCCCTGTTCTTCCCTCATCACCACAAGACTTCTCTGGCTCCAACCACCGGGAGTGTTTGCATTAGACATAATACTGTTCCTAACATAGGAGAGAGCATTCAAATGTTTAAGAAAAAGAGCAAGATTCACACTGATAAATAGGCAAAAGATGGAAATAAATCATTCACACTAAAATATATCCAAACAATAAGCAAAACATAGGGGAAATGTTCACACTCACAGTAACAAAGAAATGGACATTGAAGTCACCTTGAGATACCGCAGCTTTAACTGTCACAGCAGAAACATCAGGAGTATTGAAGAGAAGTGGAGAGACACCTATTATTAGTGGCAGTGAAAGTCAAATGGACCCTTTTGATGAACAGTGTGGCAATGGCCATGAAGATATGCTTTGCCTTTGACCCAGTGCATGGAGATTTCTCATTCTTAGGAGAAATGAGGTAGAGAAATGGTCACACAAACTTTTATTAAGTGCCGCCTTTTTATATAATAATAGTAATTACTGTGCTAATAATAGCAGCTAACATTTATTGGGCCCTTTTTGTATAGAAGGCACTGTACCAAACATGTTATGTATATTTAATTAATCCTCCCTATAATCTCATTAGATACATACTTTCACATTGCACAGAGATGGAGACAACTTACAAAAGTTGACTTTCTTGTCCAAACAGCAGCAGATTCAGAATTTAAATCCGGCTCTGTCTCAGAACTGTTTTCCCATCAGCAGGGCAATCTCTTCATAACTACTCCTGGATGTCATCAGTGACTTTGTACAGAAGGGAAACGGAAACTCAAGGAACTTTCTCAAGATCACAGCTCATTAGTGACAGAAGTAGATTTTGAACCCAAATCTAATCACCTCACAAACCTATTCTCTCTGCACTATATTCCCCTGAAGAAAGGATCCAGTTAGGAAAACAAAACATATGATATTTATGGCCGTATTACCAATCACAGCCGACAGTGGGAAATTCGAAGCTAAGTATCCCACAAGGGCACGGTGATTATGGAGAGAAAAGTGTCCCATCTCAGTGATATTTAGCACCATGCCTGGACTACCTCAAGCTGGCATAACCCTGCAAAGTGCCTACGCGGCCTTACTCCGAGCCCAAGGCCCAGTCAAACCCGTGTTACTACTGTGGTCCCCCGGGTGATTTCCACATGGGCACAGCAACCAGAAATAAACAGGTGAAAACTTAGGCTTCTCCTTCTGATGACTCCCCAGGGCCTGGCGCGGCTTCTGTGCAGTCACTGCTCAGCACCAGTTGGCCGTGAGGCAAGGCTGCAGTGGGAACTCTCCCGCCCTCCAGCCCTTGGGCTTCGGGTTGGAGAGTCACACCTGGGGCAGGACCCCTGGCAAGCTGGACAAAAATGTGGGGCAAGTGCCACTTCTGGGCCTGAGAGTGCCGAGGCGGGGAGGGAGTGAGCATTCATGGCTGAGATAAGAGCACACCACAGACAGGCAAGGTGCCCCCCAAAACAGCTGATGCTGGAACTAACAGCCTGGCTGGCTGGAGTTGGGGCTCTGGGGACCCCAGCCTCTCTCCCTACTTCTGACTCTCACCTTGCTTCACCTTCTCATTCCTACATCTCCCCCATTCGTGGCCCAGAGGCAAGAATGCTCTGCACCACCTCAGTCTGTTCGGTATATTTATCCTTTTCGTCCTCTGCATCTGGACTCCGTGCCACAGAATCCTCAGAAATACTTCAGATACAAACGGGAATGTCACCACGTACATGAAGTCTGATGAAGTTCCATTTCTCGTTTGATTTCAGGGAGGGCTTTTCCTGTTACGTGTTCACTTGGGGATGACTTCTCAGGTTTCGCTTGGTCTGAAGAGTTAGACAAGAGAAGAAAAATGGCTGAGAGTTTGAATCACAATTGATTGGCTGGTGGAAAATTCTCTTCCATGTGGGAGACAGGGAGTGTGTGTGCACATGTACATATATGTACTATAGTATATTGGTTATAATCTGACGTAGATGGAATATAATCTGTTATTATATATAATATCATCTGGAAAAAATTTTTACCTGTTTTTACAAGTCTGTGAAAAGCACACCTACCTAGCCCTCCCCACCCCTTCTCCATCCCCAGCCCCAGTCTTATCAATGTCACTGGAATAGGAGGTACTGAAAGTCTGTCAACTAGTCAGCTCACAGAAGAGACATCAACAACTCAAAACTGTTTTTCCATGTGCTGAAAATACAAGATGGTGTAGTGCTTGCCATATTCAAGTTGAAAAATGGCATGTCTGGGTTTAGACAGTCTCAGTTCCATGGCAAAGTTTCAGGCCAGGAGGTTTTCCAGAACTTGGTTGTTTCTGACTG